GTGGGATACTCTTGTAGGACACTCTTGTGGGACACTCTTGTAGGACATTCTTGTGGGACACTCTTGTAGGGCACTCTTCGTACGAGACTTCCTCCAAAAGTCACACGTCAAGTCTCCAAAACGAGCATTTCGTACGAGACTTCCTCCAAAAGTCACATGTTAAGTCTCCCAAACGAGCGTTTCGTACGAGACTTCCTCCAAAAGTCACGTGTCAAGTCTCCAAAACGAGCGTTTTGTACGAGACTTCCTCCAAAAGTCACATGTCAAAGTCTGCAAAACGAGCATTTCGTACGAGTCAAGCGGAAACACCCATCGGAGCACACACATCACGCAGCCCTGCCAAGCAGTTTCGCGAGTCCAGCCCCTCCAAACAACACCCGTTCACACGCCAATCCCACTGTGACAGCGACATTCACTTCTACCACAACTCACGACCTCACAATTCCCTGCGCCTGCCACGAATCTTTCCGCATCCACATGTCTAACGCGCACAAAGTACTGCGCCTGCCACGAAATGTCACCTCCGTCACACCTCGCAACCTCACCATTCCCTGCGCCTGCCACGAGAATCGCACTTCCACGCCTCAAAACCCACACAAAGTACTGCGCCTGCCACGAATAGTGCTCATGTCAGCTTCAACAAAATTTGCACCACACCACACGTTTGGAATGATTTCGACCCGTTCTGAGCACACTCCCATCCACCAAAATCGGCATTTCAGCTGAGACTTGTCACGAAAACAGAGCTTCGATGCCACACCCTGAAACGCAAATCCCAATGGCACGGCCACATCCAACACCCCAAAAACACGACTCTCCAAACGCTAATCCCAATGGAACTACGCAGCACTCTGCAGATCTCACAAAACGCTGCGCCTGCGCAGCGAAACGCATCACGTGTCTTGCGCCACATCTCATTTTCATGCAAATCACAATGGAATAGCGGCGCAAACTGACACGTGACACATCCATGAAAAGTCGCTTGCAAAAGCTTCCCCCAATGGCAGCGCCTTAGCGACCTACTGCGGACGGTTGCGAACGGTTGCGGACGGTTGCGAACGGTTGCGGACGGTTGCGAACATAGAAGCAACGGGTCGCGAACAAGGCTCTACCCCCAGACCCCCAAGAGTTAAACGAGAACCCTTCGCTACGCATTCGGGAAAAAGAAAAAGGTAAGAAGGGCAAGAATGACTATCAGAAGGGCGAAAGGGAAAGGTGTGGCAACATGTTACACGTGCGGAACGCCACGACATCTAGCTCGAGACTGTTGGAGAAACAATGTTCGACAGGTTGCAAGTGATCCAGCCCATTCATCTTCAGGAGGAGCATCAGTGACTGCTCATACAGTTGGTCAACAACAAGCCAATGTGAGCTAACAGAGTAGCTCAGCAGAGGCCAAACCAGTGGTCAGAAGAATTGAGAACAATGAGCCAATCATCTTTGACTTGTGAGAAAGGGAGGATGAAGTAGAAGATCATGGAATTCGAGTGGTTCACTTCTACATTGGAGATGTGATGATTATGAGCCAGAGAAAGAAGAGTGTTAGGAGATTGACATCTCAGGTGAAGAACCCAAGGTGAGGAGACTTGGGGAAGAAGGAGAGGATGTGGCCATCATTCTTGACAGTGGAGCTGAAGGAGCTTTATTCCCGCTGCGTATGGCAGATCATGGGGAAGGAGAATTGGAGCACAGCGCAAAGACCAAGCTACAAGATGCGCAGGGGAATCGTATCCCCACCGGGGGTGCGAAAAGTGTAGAAATCTTCTTGCGCGACCTTGATGGACGTGCAGTTCTTCTTAAGAGAATGGGATCTTCAGTTGAAATCAGCCCGTACTTTGCTATGGAAGACTGATGGAGCATGGTTGGGGAGTCAATAGTCGAGAGCACATGTTGGAGAATGGTGACTTGAAGGTACCACTCAATTTGCAAAATCGCTTTTTGACGGTACAAAGCCGCATTAAGCCAGTCGAGATGAAGATGAAAGCTGCTTGGAGGTGCAACCCGAAACAGGTTGGGCCGTGTGAGTGTTCCTCGGCCGGTGTTTCCTCCGCCTACTCTCGATGCACTTGGCCGGATGTTTTTACTCCACTTCTCCCTTTGCTTGTCTCCCTGCTCGTATGCTTTTGGCCGGGTGATTTTACACTTGTCTCCCTTCTCGTTACACTTGTCTCCACTTGCCTCAGACTACTCTGGATACACTTGGCCTGAGTTGTCTCTAGCTTGTCTCCAACTTAAGACACTGTTGGGCAGAGGCTCTCAAGATGCACTTGTCCACTTGTCTCTTTGCTTGTCTCCACCCTTGGACACTCTCGGCCGGATGGTTTTACACTTGCCTTCTACTTCTCTCTTGTTACACTTGTCTCACTTGTCCCCCTGCTTGTCCCCCTTGTTGCTTCACTTGTCTCCCTTCTTGTCTTCCTGCTTGTCTAACCTCACAAAATCATGGTGGGTTGAAAGCTAGTAACATCTTTCAACCAAACAAAGCATGATATAGCCACATACATGTCAGTACAACTCAGCATATTCATAGATTTGCGTATGTTCTGTTTTCGACTGAACTGCCGGTTCTGACCTTGAGCCAATTGAGCCAAGTGCTGAAACAAGCCCAGAAGGTCCGAGTTGATCACCGCGAGCTGGAACGGTTTGAGCCGTTGACCGTTTGACAGCTCGTCTAAAAGGGCTTACTTCATAAACGCACAAACTGTTTGGTGTCCATGCTGGTATCATGACCTGTGTTTTGCGCCGAAAAGCCAGCTGGTATTAAAAAGGCGCTGATTCTAGCCATCCGCCCCGTCAGGATGGCCAGTACGTGCGGACACTCAATGATCCACCCTGACGCGGTTCAAAAAACAACAAAAAGGCATCGATGGTGAACGTACAGACCCAAACCACCAGTTTGGGGGATAACAATCTTGTTTAAGGCTTAAGGCTGGCAGGAGTACAGGATGGGTGAACTAGCGATTTTCTCGTGACATGCGCGTGTTGTTTGGTCTGTTAGCCTCCAGAAAATTGATGTTGCTGCTAGCAGAGTCCTATCGCCGGGGTGGGTGGGTATCAGCAGCCAGTGTCATTTCCGAGAACTTATCCACACAACACAGACACAGGTACTACATTTTTTGCGAAGGTGTTTCTCTGTCAGAAGGTGGTATATATGTCCGAAAAAAAACCGTTTGCAAGAGACACACCTTCAGTAAAAACTGGTGCTGCTTTACTGGAGAGGTGACCACTTGAGGCCTTGTTGCAACCCAGCCATCCTCGCCGCTATCTGACCTGAGACATGGAGAGTACGATGTTTAACCTAAGACCTGCTGAGAGTATATTGAACACACCTGAACCAATGGGCTTTGGTTTATAAATGTTTGTACTTTTATATACGCCACCCCTGGCTCATTTGAGAGGCTCCCTGACTCCCTATTCCAAATACACAACAACAGGTTCATTTAGCCAACGACCAAAGGGGTGTTGTACTTTAAATTCGGGAGACCCCAGGCCGCCTGAACATGGGGAGCTGACTCGTCTCGTCTACTCATCTATTTCCTGAACCTTGCAAGGGGTCGGAGCGCCTGGAAGGTCTTTCCTTTTTTTCCAATACACACCCATGTCATGTCCACGACCATTTGCGACCCGCTGTGACCTGTTCTACTACTCGTGTGCTACAAATGGGCGCTCCAGGACGACGAGCACCAGCCACCGGGCGCCGGAGGCGCGGCCGCGCTGCGGTTGAAGGGGTGACCACTACCTAGAGTGTGTCCCATTACCAGTCGGTTAAACAACTATTTTTGTAATTTGTAACGATATCTAATTATATATATAGTGTATATATTTAGTATGTTTGTTTTGTTGAGATGTCGGATGCTGTCGGTCTTTACTAACCATCATCCACTGGACCCTGGTAATGGGATAATACCAATACCTACACCCCCCAAAACACACTCTTTGCAGGTGTCCGTTGCGTGGAAGCCCGGGTTCAATGATTTGGGTTTGGTGTGGGGTTCACGAAGCTGTTGAGTTACTTTCAAGCTTGCGACATGGCTTTCAACGGGTTAAGATATTTAGTGAAAGGACATCTCTGTTCTGCGTGTTCTGAAGGGACCAGAAGCCAGGACTTTGCGAGGTGTGGTTCTCTCAGAGCCTGGAGTTCTTGTGTCACAGATATGATGTCAGAGAGAGAGAGAGAGAGTTGGGGTTCCACCTGTGTTGGCAGATCCTTCCATGGATCTCCTGGCACCGGCACCGGGGGTCGAGTCCCAGGGCTTGCCGCCCGACCGAGAGAAGGGAGACAAGACGTCAGAGCGAGCGTGCTTCGGTGAGATGAAGCGGCTTTGCTTGAAGGTTCTACAGATGTTACCCAAAAGTTAGACAATTCATCAAGGTTTCAAGGTCTGGATGATTCGTGCATGCTGTTCTGCCCCTTCGATGTGCCCAAAAGGCGTCCAAAAGCGGTTAAACCATATTTACATACTGTAGAATATTTAGCTCCCCCAAGCTGACAAAGTTGGGTAGAGTTTGACCAAGGAACGTCATCTTCCAACACCTCCGGTATTTCAGGGCCATTCCAGCAATTCATTGTTGGAGTTAGAGGATGTTGAAGCTCAGGATATAGGGGGCACACCCTCGCCGGGCCTTGTAGCCACACACAACCTCAGGCCTGCATGACGAGTGCGTACCTCAGGGGCATGGTTGTTGTTGAGCGGGCTGTTGAAGGAAGAAGTGGGGAAAGAGACGTTAGAGAGAGAGAGAGAGGGCATGCTCAACGATTGTAGTTGTTTAGTGCATACTTTGTGGTGCAGGAGAACTCTTCTGCAAACAGTAAGAAATCCTGGGAGGCTTGAGTAGGATGTGTGCCTATTGGATCTTGAAGGGATTGGTACTTTGAGGTTGGTCGTTCTCGTCACGGGAGAACGACCTCGATCAATGAACAGCTCCACAACTAATGGGTGACCAACGTACAGTACCTTTGGTTGAAGGAAGCTTTCACAACTCAACGAAATCGATTAGACACAGGAAAACAGTCGAATACCAAGATGCATTCCCTTTCATGCCAATGATTTAAACTAGTAGCTTCTTCTTCCTAGTAGGGATGGGCGATGGCCTCCAACCTACTTGCGATGGCCTCCACCTAATAGCGTCCTTGCTCCTCATAGCGATGGCCTCCAACCTACTAGTGATGGCCTCCCCCTAGTAGCGTCCTTGCTACTATAAACCGGTTTAAATACTGTATAATATATTGCATGTCTCCCGCCAAATCGACACGTCGGTTGCCCTATCGAAAAGGAGTTTTGGTCGCCGGACTTTAGTTTGCAACTCTGCACTCTGCTGATGGCCCCGTCCCATTTCTTTGGGGGGAGGGTCTTCTGATGAGTCATTTGTGGAACCGCCCCAGCCTTCGCATGACGAAATCGTCTGCAAGCTGTGACGTGGCTGCGGGGAAGAGAATAATTTTTGGTTCTTTGTGACGTAGCTGTGGGTCGTGGCGGACCCTGTTTTTTCCCAGCAAACAATGAACGCAGAGTTTCCCCAGACATGGAGGTTCACCTACCAGGGTTTGGACCCACAGCCACATGTTCGTTTTGTGGGCACTGGTCCTCCTGAGTGGAACACAGACTAGCTGAAGCCGTTTGCCCTTTCTGTTCTGAACTCTCCCAGGAGTGATGACGGCGGAAGGTGCTTGGTTTGAAGAGCCACCTTTTTCGAGCTGCGGGACGGGTGCTGTGTTTGTTCTTTTTTCAGGTGACAGGCGATTTGAGGAGATGAAGCACACCTCATTGCAGCAGTTTTCGGCAACCTGGTCTAAAGTTCTTGATTCTTGCTGAAGTATGTCAAAGTGTTCTTTACGGCTTTTGGGGGTGGAACATCACATGCATCATTATGCAGCTTACATTCCCCGCCAGAATTCGGCATTGGTGTGTTCTAGGCCCTTTTTAGTGATCTTGCGTTGGTAGCAATCTCAGCTGTGGTTCAAGTAGTGGCATCATACCTTCAGCCTTCAGACAAGGTGGCCCAGATCAGGTTCGTTGGACTCCTCAGTAGATTCTGAGAGAATCTGCGATGTTGGGATCAGCCGTGGTTTCCAGTTCGACACCTCTGCGGCCACCCATCCCGCCTGGGTTTTTGGTCGAACGACCCGACCCTCGGCGCCGATCCGACCAGGCCACCCAGCGAGTAGCGCGGAGCGGAGCGGTCAGGTGGCACCGAGGCGGGTTTGGAGCGGGTTTGGAGCGGTCGAGGTCGCACCTCCCCCCACGGAACCTAGGATCAACTGGTAGAGGAATGGGGTCTGAAGAGAACCCTCCAACTCCAAGGTAGACGGTTTTTTGATGCATCCGTTCTCACTCGGATCCAGCATGACGGCAGGCAGAAAAAACAGGCGACCAGATGGACCGAACCGCCGCCAAAACACGTTCGTGGAATGACATGTTCCATGTTCTTCCTCTACTCACAGGGCTTCACTCCGCCTATCACGAGAGCAACGGACCACCAGACTTGACGATGTGGTTGGAAGAAAAGCGCCAAAACCGAATAGAAGAAGCTCCAAAAGAACAGAGCCACAACATTCTGAATAAAGCCATGGGATGTACTGGGGGCCGTGGATCAGCCTAGAGTATGACACGAAGGGAAAAAATCAGCTTCTTCTTCCCGACATCCGAAACACGACCTTCGACAACCTTCAAGGCACTTTTATTGCGGTTTTTTTTGTAGCTGACATGTGTCCTGAGGCGAAAGCAGGTCAACACATGTTGCTTTGATTTGGTGCAATTAGCAGTTCTTTTCGTCCCGGCTACACAGAGAGCAGGGAAGGACCTAAGAGAGTATTAAGTTTCTGTACTTCGAGTGGTCCCCACCATGACATTTCAATCATTTGATTTAAGGCCATGGTGAGGAGCGTGTTGCCATGGTTGTGAGTTTTGCTTGTGGTTTGGGATTGCTACTCGTATTTTGCGTAGGGGAGTTCGCGTCGGGGTGTCGCCAGGGCCTGCAGTTGGCATCCAAAGTGCTACCCTGTGACCACCTGCCACTCAAAATGCCACACACACACAGGTAATTATGTTATGTTGCTGTCGTTGTTTTTGTGGTTGTAATCGAGTTTTGTGGTTGTGTGTTGTCGTTGTGTGTTGCGGTTGTGTGCTGTGATTGTGTGTCGTGGTTGTGTGCTGTGATTGTGTGTTGTGGTTGTGTGTTTGTGGTTGTGCTTGTGGTTCTGTGTTTGCGGTTGTGGGTTGTGGTTGTTTGTTGTGGTTGTGTGTCGTGGTTGTGTGTTTGTATTTGTGGTTGTGCTTGTGGTTGTGTGTTTTCGTGCTTGTTTTGTCTGTGTGTGTGAGATTGTTTTTTTGTGCTTGTGGTTGTTTGCGATTGTGTGTTTGTGGTTGTGTTTGTGATGAAATTGTGTGTTTGCGGCTGTGTGTTTGCGTGTTTGTGATTGTGTTTGTGGTTTTGGCTGTGTGTTTGTCTATGTTTGTGGTTTGTGTGTTCTGGCTGTGTGTTTGTCATTGTGTTTGTGGCTGTGTGTTTGTGGTTGTGTATGGTTGTGTCTTTGTGATTGTTTGTTTGTGACTGTGTGCTAGTGATTGCGTGTTTCTGGTTGTGTGTTTGACATTGTGTGTTTGGGGTTGTGGTTATGCCTGTGTTCGTGGCTTGTTTGTTTGTGGTTGTGGTTGTGTATTGTGTGTTTGTCGTTATGTTGTGTGGTTGCGTGTTGTGTGTGTTGAGGTCCAGTAGTGCCCACTGTGATCTGGCACTTGCGGTTGAGGTCCGGTAGTGCCCACTGCGATCTGGCGCTTGCGGTTGAGGTCCGGTAGTGCCCACTGCGATCTTGAGGTCCGGTAATGCCCACGGTGGTCTGGCACTTGTTGTTGAGGTCCGGTAGTGCCCACTGCGATCTGGCACTTGCTGTTGAGGTCCGAGAGTG